CACACCATTGCACTCCAGCCTGGGTGACAGAGCAAGAACCTGTCTCAAAAGAAAAAAATACATATGGTCAAAGAGCAATGTGCTGCTTTTATGGCCTCTACGATTTTGAAATATTTAGAGAGAGCGATTTCTTCTTATAGCTCCAATCGTGTTTTTGAATATAAAAAAATCATTGTATTTTAAAAAGCTAGCCAGTAGATTTTCTTTTTAAATCTGTTTCTAAATATCCAAAGACTCCAGTGATTCATTAAAATACTTTTGTTTCCCTAGGAAAAAAGTTTCCACATATGCACGGTAATCATTTGGCATTTTGTAGGCTTAAGCCTTGGGGAGTTAGTGGTATTTGGCTCCTGACATGGAAGTCTTTCTCTTGTCAGACAAATCCTTCCCCGGCACATTCCTGCTGAAAAGTTTGTTACTGTTGTGCCTAGTGGCAAGCAGCGTGGCGGTTGGATATGGTCTGTACTGCCCAAGCGAACTCTCCACATTGATACTTTAACCTCTTTGTGAGTTAGCGTTCACTTTATAGCTATTAACCCATTTATTGTTTCATCTTACTCCAGAGTCATTTTACCTAGGGAAAAAGTGTCATAACTATATTGTGGTGAAGAGACATAAATGTGCATTAAAAAACCCCAACAACTTGTAGTCTTTAAAGTCCCTTTAGATGACTTTATTTTTGTTAACATTTCTTCAGGGTCTTCTAAGCAAAACATAAATATTTCTGCGAAATCTGGGTATTTTTAGGAAGTGATTGTGCATTTTGAGAAAAATACCAATTAGATTACATTTTGACCTTGAATCAGGAAATCTGGGTTCTGATGATTTGATATTTAGTCTCAATGTTTTGAATTTTATATATTATTTCCAAGAAAGAATGTAACACTAGGAACGTTTCACTGAAGGAGCAAAGACCAAGTGAATACAGAATGTGGCAGAAGTGCTCATGAGTAAAATACTTAGTTAAAAAAAAAAAAAAAAAAAAAAGCAGAGCTGGACGCCGTGGCTCACGCCTGTAATCCCAGCACTTTGGGAGACTGAGGGGGGTGAATCACCTGAGGTCAGGAGTTTGAGACCAGCCTGGCCAACATAGTGAAACCCCGTCTCTACTAAAAATACAAAAAATTAGCTGGGCATCGTGGCGGACACCTGTAATCCCAGCTACTAGGGAGGCTGAGGCAGGAGAATCACTTGAACCCGGGAGGCGGGGGTTGCAGTGATCCAAGAACGCTCCATTGCACTCCAGCCTGGACAACAAGAGCAAAAGTCCGTCTCAAAAAAGAAAAAAAAAAAACCCAAACAAAACAAAAAAAAAAATAAATTGATTTACAGTCAACAAAATACAGATATTAGAAAGTAGTTGAGGCACGAGAATCTATGGCGAATGGCGAATGAAATTAAGATGGGATGAATGGCAGCATTTGAATCGATTGCTGTTTAAATGTTGTATTTCTGTTTTCTTCATGATCACATTTAATGTTAAAACAAAAGTATGCAAATTCAACCTTAGCACATTAGTTAGTTATCAGGTCATTTGATACTTTGAAATTCTTATTTTAACCAGTACTGTTGATCGTGAGGCTATGTCTGTGTGTGTGTGTGTGTGTGTGTATGTGTTGTAAACGTAAATGTTTAAATTGGTTCATTATAATCTGCGAAAATTAAATTAACCTAACTTTATCCTTTTTTTTTTTTTTTTTGAGACGGAGTCTCGCTGTGTCGCCCAGGCTGGAGTGAGTGGCGCCATCTTGGCTCACTGCAAGCTCCGCCCCCGGGTTCACGCCATTGTCCCTGCCTCCAGCCTCCCGGAGGTCGCAGCTGGGACCACAGGCGCCGCCACCACGCCCGGCTAATTTTTTGTATTTTTTAGTAGAGACGGGGTTTCACCGTGTTAGCCAGGATGGTCTCAATCTCCTGACCTCGTGATCCACCCGCCTCGGCCTCCGAAGGTGCTGGGATTACAGGCATGAGCCACCGCGCCCGGCCCAATCTAACTTTATCTAAAAAAAAAGTGCAAGTGGCAATGGTAGAGTTCTTGTGTCCTGCCTATTGGTAGATATAAGCTTTTTTCATTTTATTTGTTTGATAGTTTTCTAGCAAATTTATTTAATTAGTAAAAGAATCTGGCTTAAAGAACCCAGAGAGAGAAAAAGAAAACAGAAAGTATATTTTATAATCATTCCAAAAAAATTTATTTAAGTAGAGGAATCAGTATAGATATTTTAAAGAACCATATATGTTTGCCATATCAAAAAGGAATATTTCAGTATATGTATTTATGTAAATATAGATATATTACATATATGAAATAAAAATATAAAGAATGCATACATTGAGATAATTTTTCTAAAATAAACTGATGATGAGCTTTTTAATGCAGGGGCAGCTTTCGCTTACTATTCCCCATTGCATATTGAAAAATATAATTTTTAGGTTAGTTTATTTCTATCCAACCATTCAAAAATTGGTAGGAAAGGTAACACAATATTATGAAGCATTTAGAAAACTGAAATCTTAAATAGATTGAAATTCTATAGTTTAAATACAATGATTGATTTAAAAATATCAATTTTAAAATTGATATTTTATGATTGCTACTATTGATCAGAATACTATTTGACATTTGTATCAGGATTCATGGCTTTCAAATCCTTTATATATATATATATGTATATATATAAAAAACTTCACTTTTATTTCATCTGAGAATTAATTGCTGTCAATTAAAGATAAAATAAAACATTGACTTTATTTGGATTGTTAACATAGCTAGGCTCTTCTATTTAAAGAATGAATGTTACAATTAAACAAATAAAGCATTTATATGCAGAGCCCCACTCTCACAAACTGATGCTGGGCTGGACAATAACAGAAAAAAGAAATTAGTTTCATGAATAATAATGAACATTTGTGGACAATGATGCCACCATGTAGATAGGTTTTAGGGTTTTTGTTTTCATGTAAATACAGAGCGGCTTTTAATGTTCCAGAATATTCAACAGAGAGTGTGTGCATACGGTTAAAACAGTACATGTTTTAGGTAAATACACATGCACCGAAAGAAGCAGCACTGTGATTTGACTAATAAATTATAATATTCATTTAATTTTAGAATGGAATTTAAAACTAGGAGTGGCTTTAGAGGTTATTTAGCTCGATTCCCTAATTTTACACATACCATATGGTTCTATGGTGTTTTTACTATTGAAGTTAAATATAAAAATGTTCAAATCTGTGCAGAAGTAGATTATGAGAAAGGAAAGCACTCGGTCATTGCAATTACCTATTCATCAGCAAGGCACATTCACTTACAAAGAATGAATTATCTATTCATCAACAAATCATAACCATACTGACACAAATTTTAAATAAAAGCAAAATATATATTTATAAATAACCATCCTGAAACGATAACTAGAAGCTCATAGTATTTCTGAATATTTCAGTACTCACCTTATACAAGAGCAACATATTCACTGCTGGGGAAAGGGGCCAAATTGTTGAATGGTGCATTTATAATTTGGAGCTATAGATATTGAAGCTAGTAATTACATTAGAAATACAGAGTCTGGGGTAGGTATTTTGCTAACATATGAAAAATTACTGGGTATTCTGGAGTGATTTATCTTTTTCTATTCACATTCATTTTCCAGCATGCATTTTTTTCAAAGTAAAAAAAAATGGTATGATCAAGGATCAGGTTTTGCAGACATAAGGATGACAGAGAAAGCTCGTTTGGTCACTAGAATAATACATTTCACAATCTTTAGCATTATCTTCTTATATGTAATTCGCTTTGAAGTTGATAATAAATGTAATATGTGCTCAGTGAAAAATGTTTGGAAATATTGAAAAGCAGGAATAATAAAATATCTATTAACTATAAATGTATTACACAGAAAAACAATACAAAATACATTTTTGTAATTGTTTTACTCTTGATGTCCCTCCCTGCCTTTCCCTACCACATGTATGCACATGCATATCTATACTCTAGATACCCCTCTCTGCCATTCCCCAGCACATGTGTGCACACACATGTCTATACCTGTCTGATTTTCTTATGCATTTGGACTCTGCAGCTCACACGATTTGTGACTTTTGGCAAGTAACTTAACTTTTCTGTGCTTTAGCTTTTTAATCTTTACAATATGGATAGTATTAATAGCCATGTTATAGAATTATAAAGATTCAATGAGGTGATAAATAGAAAGTTTTAGAAGCTTGTCTGACATAATGTATATTATGAGAGTTATCATATATTTTAAACATTTTAAGTTAACAAATCTTTCTCATTTTTATTTGAAAGATTAACCCGCTACTAGTATTTTATAATATTTTCAGCAAGCCATAATAAAACTTTTTCCCCTCATGATAATGATGGTAAGTGGAACATCTGAAAAATATGTTCCATGTAAAATGCATCTTCACACAGACTTATTTTGTCATTTTAGTTTGATTTTTGAGAAATGAGTTCAGCACATCTGCCAAATCCTTTTATAAGATGCTACATTCCTGTTTTTATTTTAGTTTATTTTATTTATGAAAAGTTCTTTTCTTCTCCACCCCACCCCCAGACAGTCATTCCTCTCTGTCCTAAACCGTAACACTGCTGTATGTTACATTTTTAAAAGTAAACCAAAACTGGGAAGAAAAACTTTTTTTAAAATGTCATTCTCCCGTTGGCCTAGCTAGATGAAAAAACAAAAAGCAAAAACAAAAACAAAATCCTATTTTGAAAATATGCTATTTGATAATGGGCTTTTATGTTTGTTTGCCAAATGTAGAATCACAGACATTTTATTAATATTATTTTTTTTTAGTGCGGGAAGGAGGCAACTGGTTTGGGGAGGAAAAAGATGGAATAAAGCAGATGAAGTAGAATCCGTTTGCAAACATATGTTAATATTTAGATTGTTTTTTTTTTAAGTGAAAACTTAACTAGTGAATGCCTTTTTACAAACTGTCTTTGATACCGTGTTTTGTTTATTCCATCCCAGAAGAAGTTAGCGGTATTCAGCAAGATGCAGGACTCTCTGGAAGTCACCCTTCCCAGCAAACAAGAGGAGGAGGATGAGGAGGAGGAGGAGGAGGAGGAGGAGAAAGACCAGCCTGCCGAGATGGAGTACCTTAACTCTCGCTGTGTCCTTTTCACTTATTTCCAGGGAGACATTGGGTCAGTAGTGGATGAACACTTCTCAAGAGCTTTGGGCCAAGCCATCACCCTCCATCCAGAATCTGCCATTTCAAAAAGCAAGATGGGGCTAACCCCCCTATGGAGAGGTAAGAATTCAAAAGCAGATGCTTTCCAGGGCACTGTCTTTGTTTCGCAACTGCCTGTACCAGGTTCCAGCTGGAGACTTGCCCCTGAGGATGGATATCCACTTGCTTTTTAATATTTAAGGACAGCGAGGAATTTCTTTCAGACAAACAGCTGGATCGGTTTTGTCACATGTGGAATGCAGGGTTGGAAAGGATGCAGTCACACCCCTTAAATTCCTCATGGAAAGGAGTGATACAACCGGCTTGAGTTTATAGTGGCCGCATTGAGCTGCGAAGCACCATTCCTAAAGCCCCAGTGGCCCAATTTGGATCTCTAAATAATAGGCGTGTCTAAATCAGCTTTTAAAAACTTAGCTCTTGCTCATTCCAGTAGGTGCTACGTGATGACATACCAGAGACCTGAATCTGACCCAGGAACACAGACATTGAAAGCTGTCTGTGTTCTTTTAATAGACTTCTCTATCCTGATTGGTGGTTGTATTAACTCTTTGTAGTATACAATCTAGGCATTTTTGGCAGCCTCTACATGGTTTAAACTAGTGTTTTTACCTTGATAAAGAAAGAGCTGCATGTTGGACTCCTTTATTTCTCTCTATATTGAGGTCACAGAGATATGTTTGAAACTGATTTCTGACTCACAGAAAATTATTGGTGACATCTAAATCAGGGTAATTACAGGGTTGGAGAAAAACATAATATGTCATTTCAATGACAGCTTCAGAGAAATTTGTTACAGTGATGATTTCTTCCAAACTCACCTGGTTATAGGAATGATCTAGTAAAATGGTTCTCGAGGTATGATGTTCCTGACCAGGAACATCGGTGCCACATGGGAGCTTGTTAGAAGTGCAAATTCTTGGGCTCCACCCCAGACGTGCAGAATCAGAAACTCTGGGATGGGGCAGTCTGTGTTTTAACCAGCCCTCCCAGTAACTCCAATGCAGGCTTGAGTTTGATAATCATTGATCTAGTCCTGTTAAGGACAGTTTGCAGGACCCCCTTATCTCGAGTCTGTTGAACTGGAATCTTCAAGTGTGGGAATCACACTTGAACAAGGGCTCTGGGTGATTCCTGTCATGAGGAAAAGCTGGCCACCTGTGGGCAGGGCCAGGTGAGCAGTGAGCAGTGACTAGTGGTACCTTCTCTGAAGCACTGGAATGGTTCTGCTCCACTGTAGAAGTCCTGGCCACGTGGAATTGCTGGGCCTGATCTTTTCTTACCTACTTTATCTTTCTTTTCTTCTCTCCCTCCCTCCCTTCTTACCCTCTCTCCTTCATTCCCTCTCTGCTTGCCTCCTCAGCTCTCCTTTTTTTTTTTCTTTCCTTCCTTCTTTATTTTTCTCTTCAGTAAATATAAACAACACTAAACAGTGACTATAAAGGGTAAGGTGGATTACAAATAATATATCCAAGGCCTTGATGGAAGTGAATTGAAAAACATTCTACTTATTTGATTAGTAAGCATTATGGACTTACTATGAGAACTGAGACTTAGTCCTTGGAAGCCTATGATGCTTACGTAATAGACTAATGTCCTATTTAACAGGATGTGATGAATAATTTTAATAATTTGTAGAGGAAGAAAATAAGAAAACATTAGTGAATTAGATGGCTTTAATAAATAATTTGATATATTAATAATGAATCCTATTAAGATAATCAGTCCCAAGAGACTAATACATATAATGTCTACTTCTTTTAGCACATGGGCATATGCAACCTTGTTATCATTTAACGTGAGAAATCAGAATTAATGTCCTAAATTATTTCTTGGTGCCAGGGTGATTATCTATGGTATCATATTCAAAATAATTTTCAGTGGGATGTTGTGAATGTGTGGAAACCCTACAACATATCAGCATTTTCCCTGTAATTTGCATAACACACTACACAAGGTCCTTTAGCAGATGTTAAAAGTGTAACATAGAAAGGGCTAATCAAGGCAATGTTTTCATAACTATTATTAAAATTTTCTTGGAACCATCTTAAATTTGATCTTTAAATATGTCACCTGTTTTATTCATTGACATACTCGGCAAACATTTATTAACCTCCTGCTATGTGTTACGCAATGTGCTAAGTCCTGAGACAGCCCAAGGCTCTGCCCTCATGGAGCTGACGTCTTGGGGTAGAAACAGGAAACAAACAATTGTTACAAAAGATGTTATTTTACCTAAGGTGATAACAAAAGCCCTGTAGGGCACAGTTGTGTTTGAGCAGATAGCTGAAGGAAATAAGAATACTCATCATGTGGTTACCCAGGGGAAAATAATTCTACACACGGGACAGACAGTACAAAGGCCCTGAAGATGGAATGGGCTTGGAATATTTAATGAGAAGCAAAGATGCTGATGTGAGGCGAATGGAATGCAAAGTGATAGGTGGAGAACAGATGTTTTAGAACTTTTTTTTTTGGAGGAGTTTCGCTCTTGTCACCCAGGCTGGAGTGCATTGACGCGATCCCGGCTCACTACAATCTCCGCCTCCCCAGTTCCAGCGATTCTCCTGCCTCAGCCTCCAGAGTAGCTGGGATTACAGAGGGCCTCCACCATGCCCAGCTAATTTTTGTATTTTTTTAGTAGAGACAGGGTTTTACCATGCTGGCCAGGCTGGTCTTGAACTCCTGACCTCAGGTGATCCACCTGCCTTGGCCTCCCAAAGTGCTGGGATGACAGGCGCAAGCTACCCCTCCCGGCTATTTTACAGGTTTTTACATCAGTTTTTCAGAGTATACCAGGAGAACACAGCATGCACTTCAATTTTTAGCTCCTATTCTCCCACGGAGTCTACAAATACCCTTCTGATGCTCACGACAATGTGTTTCTATGTGGAAAATCTGAAATAGATATTAATGTAATGATTAAGTGACTGAATTAAATGAACCAATTTCATACCATGTATCCAGAATTAGAAGACAAAAGAGTCTTTAGAAGACAAAAGAGCAAATTTCTTGGAAATAAGTTACATGAAATCTTTGGGTATAGTTTTCTTATTTATAAAATAAGGGGGTTGAAGCAAAGAATTGGTAAAAATCTTTTCTCCTGTAAAGTTCTATAATTTCAAAGGTATTATGTGCTTTTCTTAGATCTTTGCCATAATTGTCTTCAGTTGTGAATTAGTCATATTTAGATAAATATATAAAACTTGTGTAGGATTTATAGGACAGCCATAAACGATAAATAAAGATATAGAAAATGTCTTAAAGAAGAGGTTCAATAAAATGAGATTCACACTTTTATTCTCATAAAACAGGAGAGTTGGTGGCAATTTAATATTAATTGGCAAGGCTACACAGAATTGGAAAATGCAGTCTTCGGAGTCCATTGGTTTTAGATTCATGTTCCAGCCTTTACCTTCTGCTTGCAATGTGATCTTGGATTACTAAATTGAAATCTCTTACGTCGACTTCCTCAACTGTAATATGTGTTTATTGATACCCATCTCCTAGAGTTATTGTAAAGATTTTTAAATAATGTATATGAATAATTTAGCATAGAGGTTGACTCAAGGTGCTAAATGAAAGTCAGATGCCTTTTCTCTTTTCCTGAAGTAAGTTTCCACTCATTTGGCACATGGAAAACAAACCCTGAGCCTTTATCCAGGAACATTGTTTTCTGGAACTTTGTGTTTTTGGTAGAAAACACAGAGTCTTAGATAATAGTAGATACTAAAGGCTAACGATGATGTTAGTGGCCATGGCGATGATGCTTAGAAAGGAACTGCTGACCAAGTGTTAAAGGGTCTAGTTTACAGCATAAAGTTATTACAGTGCCACAGAAGTGCTACTATGCCACAAACAAATTAAATAACTGAATCAAGTTTAACTGCAGAATAGATTTCCATGGTAAATCTTTAAACAAAGAATAGTGTGTGTCAGCTAATAATGGAATAATGGTTATACTTTGAATGTATGTCTCCTTGATGAAGCTAGGAAAGTTTTTTTAGGTGTTTTTCAGCTGTAAGGCAAACACTTAATGACAGGAAGTACATGTATTTTATTTGGCAATGTCTTACCAGTTACCTCTAATCCTGCTATATGTTCTAACAGGGTTGAAAGAATTTCATTTCTTTCTATTAAGAAAAGCTAATGAGGCCGGGCGCGGTGGCTCATGCCTGTAATCCCAGCACTTTGGGAGTCCGAGGCGGGCGGATCACCTGAGGTCAGGAGTTTGAGACCAGTCTGGGCAACATTGTGAAACCCCGTCTCTACTAAAAATACAAAAAATTAGCCAGGCGTGGTGGCAGCCACCTGTAATCTCAGCTACTTGGGAGGCTGAGACAGGAGAATCACTTGAACCCGGGAGGCAGAGGTTGCAGTGAGTTGAGATTGTGCCATTGCACTCCAGCCTGGGTGACAGGGCAACACTCCATCACAAAAAAAAAAAAAGAAAAGAAAACCTAATGAATATGATTGTTCCCTTATCTCCATACAAATACGTGTTTACTGATACCCTTCTCCTAGTGTTATCATAAAGATTTTTAAAGTAATCTATATGATTAATTTGGCGCAGAGCTAAACATTGGCTTCAAATACGTCTATGCACTGATCTTCACAGAAATGAGTGTGTGTGTACCTGTAGAAAAGGGCAGGACTTATGTCAAGCCATAGCAGAGTAGATCACTGACTTAAAACCATCCTGAATGCTAATCTTACTGATACTGTAGCTGCAAAGAAAATTATCTGTTGGCTCATTGATGTACATAGGGTCTGCTTGAGCAATTCATTCTCATGGGAAAAAAAAAAAACTCTCGAAATAAATACGAAACCTAAATAGTCGAATGGAGAAAGGAAAAGGAGGGCCTGTCTGATGAGCTGGCTGATACTGGAAATGAACAGAATGTCCATAGGACCAAGACATGGGGAAAAAAGTGAGGCGTGACTAACCTCACCCTGCTGCCTCCAAGGAGTATCAGCCTCTGACATCATCCCTTGAAACTCTCATTGTAGAGTCACAAGGCCCATTTTGAGCAACTCTAGAAGAAAGTAACTAGAGGGCAATCTTCGGACATAATGGTAATGCATAATTACTGAATGACAGAAAACACTGGAACACATGTCATTTCACCTCTGACCCAGCCATTTATTTTCGTGGGAAGAACAACAAGAGAATGGCAATGAAATTACAGCAAGAACGCTTTAGGTTAAGAATTGAGTAGAATTTTGTTTTTTTACTGATATTAATAAAAAATGTAAAAATGTTACCTTTTAACATTTAATAATGATGTTTTAATCAATTTTGATTCTAATGTGGTTTCTGGAAATTTTTAAGATGACTTAGAGTTTCTGCAACACTTCATTGTCCCGTTTTCCTTTTAATTTAGTTGTTGTTATTTTCAAAATTAATAAGCTATATCATTCTTTAAATTTTGAATCTTATCTTTCTTAACTTTTTTACCCTGAGATTTTTTAAAATTGTTTTTTGGGTGTGTGTGTGTGTGTGTGTTTTAAAGAGACATTTAGAATCAGTGTAAAAAGTATCCCAGTTATTATGAAATTGAAAGAAATACCTGGTGTACCATGTTCCAGTCTAAATCAGATAGTGAGATTACTAGGTTTGCTTTGAGTGGATTGTATTAGACAATGTATCAATATTACCATTTTCTTTTTTGTCTATAAATAAACTTGTGTGTATGTATGTGTGTGTAATATTTTTAACCCCAAATGCATATTGAATCAAAATTACAGTTGGGCTTTTTGTATGTGTTAGACTGTCAGTGTCAACATCATCCAAATATCAGTTAACATCATCTGTGTATCAGGTAATATTGAATCCAAAATCACCATATAATGTTAATAGCATAAAGTACTGTATTGCCTTCACTAACCTGAAATGTAATATTGCATAGAAATAGCTCACACAGCTTTTCATATGTTTTCTTCATCCAACAAATATGGCTGTGATTAAGTACTCATAAGCAAAGAATCATGTAATGAAAAAAATTTACATACATATGAAATAAGCACACTGATTCTCAGGCATGAAACAAAGCATATCATCTCTTCCTTTGCATCAAGACTTTTTTCTTTAAACAAGTAAGACACCGAATAGTGATTCTGAAGTATAAGCTTCTTCATAAACTTATTTTCAATTCAATATTGTTTCAATTGTAAATGCAACAGGTTTTTTTTCAAGGGCTGCATAGATCTTTGCAAACTTTATATTAATCTCAAGAGACATATTGACTGGGAAAATATTAAGTTCCTTTTAATTTTATTTTTCCCTGGAGCATTTTTAAACTCTGTTCATTCTTTATGGAGTGCATTTTCAAAAATAGATTTCTACTTTCAATAATAATGTATTCACTAATCATGGTACAGTACTTCATAAATATACCAATAATATTTTTGATAAGGAATTCATTCATTATTCCCTTTTGTGCCTGCATATTCAAACTGCATAAGCATCTATAAAATAAGATTGGCTCCATGTACATATAAATGAGCCTAAAAGCATACAGAGAAATGGTATATACTCTGTACTTTTGACATCTTAATAGTGGATTTTAATAAGGGAAATTCTGTATCTCTGGCACTTACTTGTGGTTGGGGTTAACTAGTTTTCATAATAGGATTCTAGCCCCCCAGGAGATGGAAGTTAGGAGCAGAATGAAGGCTTTGGTCCCACCAGATGGGGGTTGTGAGAGCAAAGTGGCAGACGTGTGGTAGCAGGGATGAACTATGTAGAACAAGGAGCCTCTCTAAACTCTGTGCATGGCTTTTAAGTTTAAACATTGATGGCTTTCATTGTGGGTGTGACTGAAATATTCTACAAATGACCATCACGTGAGGCATATTGAATTTTCTTCATACAACTTATATGACTTTCCTTCTTGTCATTAATAGCATTTTTCATATGTTGCAAAGAGACGATTGTTAATTCAAGAAAACATATTTACCTCAATGCCAGTAAGGTTGATCATAGGGGGTGTTTTTGGATAGATTTTGATTTTAACAAAACCATTCAATTACAAGTTTCCTGAGGTTGGTTGAAGATTTAAAGTGTGCACTTCCATTCTTTGCCTTTTGAAGAACATCATCTCCTAGATTTCCCCCGAGTGTTTTGAGATCGATGAAGATGTTGTGAGGGAGGGAATTGACTGTGAATAGCTGTTTGACCACAGGATGGATGGGATAAATGATCACAGCTCTGGTGCCCATGCCTGGCTGAAGGGGAGAGAATGGAAGAGCTTGCAGTGCTGCTGCCACAGCCGTTAGGGGAGAAGAGATGTTCAAACACCACATTAATAGCCTAATCATGTTAACCAAATGATATATGTGGTGGTTGATTGAAGTTTTTTAAGCTTTCCCTGAGGTAAGAAAAGTATGGCCTGGAAGTTTATGAAGTGAGAACATAGATAATGTTTTGAATATTCTTATTTTAAAATACTTCCTAAGATATTCTCCACTCTTACCCTTCATTCAATGGAAAGATCTAGCAGGTTTCTTTTATGTGGAACTCAGTATACAAATACTCTCTTTAAACTTGCATGACTAATGTCTTTAGAAGATATCTTCTTCTATAGTTAAAAATAATCCATGGGGCACTTCACAGACTGTTAGCAGTATTAAGCCAGTAGATAATTTGAATTAATGGATTCAAATACTTCATTTTCTTAGTAAAAAAAAGTAAGCCATGGAAAGATCAATGGGTCCATATGGGGTGATAAAACGAGGGTCCTAGGGTAAGACATAGGATGAAAGCTGGGCTCCTTGGTCTCCCAGCCCAGTGCTTGTTCAGTTACACAACACTGTAGGCACCATGCTACAGGTGGAGACACTGACCTTTCTACAAATGGATTTGACTATGTCACTTCCTAGATTAAAACCCTTCAAAGCCCATTGAGACCCTATCACCTCAGAATAGAATTTACATTCAGTACCATGGCCAGCAAGTCTACACCCGTCTGCGTCCTTATTTCAATAGTCTCATTTTTTCTTTTGCCACCTTCTGCGTACCGAACTCTTTTTGTCTTTCAAATGCTGCTGTTGTCGTGTGTGTGTGTGTGTGTGTGTGTGTGTGTGTGTGTGTGTGTGTGTGTAATATATGGCCTTTTCTTATGTGCTGATCCATTTGCCTAAAGCTCTCTTCCCAGGGCTAGCCCCTGCTCAGCCTGTCAGCTTCCACTTACCTATCACTTTCTAAGCTGGGTCGGTGCTCTCTGTGCTTCCTTTTGGGAGAATACCTACCGTGTCACCTTGCACTTGTCTGGTTTTACTTATCTATCCTTCTGCAGATTGTGACTAAAAATGGTGTCCATTTGGTCATCCCTGATGCCTACGTTTGATACACAGTAGGTCATGTATAAATGTGTTATGATCGAGTAGGAAATTGAATTGATGAAGAGTTAGGGGATGATTTTCTTTCTTATTTGTCTCTAAGTGCTATTCTTTGATATTTCCGTCTCCCCAAAATAGTTCCTCAAACCCGTGACCTCTACTTGAATTTCCTCCACTTATCATTTCCATAGGATCTTCACCAAATTCGAGACATTGAGGTTCATAGTTTCAATTGTGCCCTCTTGTGGCACTTTATGAAGAGGACCAGCCATTGGCCATTTAGGACACCTGGCTTCAAAGCCTAGTCCCATTCTTGCCATCTTAAGCCTTAGGCTTCTTCTCTGCTGGGATTTTCTCATCATGGGGATAATAACAATAATTACCCCATAGGCCTGGAATGAAACTCCTGTGAGATTATCTATGAAAAGCCCCTGGCATAGTGTTGGACATTTGATACTGTATTAAATATTGACCGTTTTTATTCTCGGTCTAGAGACTCCCAGATCTCCACAGAAAATAAACAAATAAAATGAGGCTAGAATACACTCTTCTTAATGGAAAATGAGTGTTAGTGAGTATAAGTAATTGTGATCTTACTTTCATTGTTACCTTCGGCATTAAAATCTTTCCTTTAAATGAACATCGTATTTGCATTTAGAAGTTGGTAAAAATGATCATTTCCAACTTATATAAACCTCATTTATGGCATAAGCTTTCTTTACCAGTGAAGTGGGTAGCTATGACCTCCTCTTACGCCTAATGGCTGCAAGGTACTCAGAAGGAAATGAAATTTTTCAATCCCCAAATTGCAAACCTTAGCACAGACTGTGACGGCATAAGCCAAGCAAAGCAAATGGAGGGAGGCTCATTCAACACTTTGGATCCTGCACACGGACCCATTGGCTTGCGAGCCCAGAGGCCAACCTGATATCAGTTCACCCCTGTTTGGGAAGAATAAGAGTGCATGCTCGTTTGACTGCTTGTAAAATATTATTGGACAATTAGAGGCAAGTCTATCCCAAAACTGAGTCTTATGTTAATCGTGTTTTTTATTTTCTGTCTTCTCAGACAGCTCAGCTCTCTCAAGCCAACGGAGTAGTTTCCCAACTTCCTTTTGGACCAGCTCTTACCAGCCCCCACCTGCACCTTGTCTGGGGGCAGTTCATCCTGACTTCCAGGTCACTGGACCCCCTGGCACCTTTTCTGCAGCTGATCCCAGTCCTTGGCCAGGACACAGCCTGCATCAGACTGGCCCAGCCCCTCCCCCTGCTGTGTCTGAGTCCTGGCCTTATCCTTTGACATCTCAGGTGAGCCCATCCTACAGCCATATGCATGACGTGTACATGCGGCACCACCACCCTCATGCCCACATGCGCCACCGCCACCATCATCACCACCATCACCACCCTCCTGCCGGTTCTGCCCTGGATCCATCCTATGGGCCTCTGCTGATGCCTTCAGTGCATGCGGCCAGGATTCCTGCTCCCCAGTGTGACATCACAAAGACAGAACCGAGTACAGTCACCTCTGCTACCTCAGCATGGGCTGGAGCCTTTCATGGGACAGTAGACATAGTGCCAAGTGTGGGATTTGATACAGGTAAGCTGCTGGATTTCTTTCTTTCTCTAACAAGATAAAGTTAATTTAAGGAAAGGTGGAAATTTGTTTTGAAATTATTTTTTCTTATCTGTAAAGTTAAACTTTACCAACATGTTTATGGAACCTAGCCATTTTGTAATAATTTCTGCATTCCTGCAGAAACTGGTATAACTAGCTCATGCAATACAGCCTGAGAAAGGTCTCAGAGCTCTTCTCTTATCTCTTAGGCTAGTAGTCTGTCCCTTTGAAATGGACTCTCTGGTAACTTCTGTTTACAAAGAACTGAGCCCATTATTTAAATCTCCCATGTCTCTGTACATTATACCATGTGTCAGGCCTAATAGAATTCAGAAATAGTATACTTGAGTAATTTTTCTTTCTTTCCTTTTTTTTTGTTAGGCCTCATGTATGACTTATAAAAACTGCTTTCTGAAATATAGTCTATAGTGTAGCCTTTTGAGCAAGAATTAGGGAACATATTTTAAAAGAATGATGTTTTCTTCATTTTCTTCCTCCCCTCCCCTCCCCTGCCCTCCTTTCCCTGATTTTACCCTCCTTTGCCTTTCCTTCTTTTCTCTTTCTTATTCCTCTTCCTTTGTTCCTCTCCTCTCTTCCTGTCTGATTTAAATAATACAAGACTTAAAAGACTACTATAAAATTTATATTCAACAGATTTAGAAACGAATAGTAAGGAAATGATTTCTTCACAGAGCATTCATCTCCTCTCTGGAATTCACTAGTTCTGAAGGTTACGTGTTAACTGTCTGAGCTTGGTTTTTGAACCAGACTAGTTATATTAATAGTATTCATAGTTCTGAGCTCATGAAATCACAGGCATCAGAGCCCAAAACGACAAATTGATCATTGCATCCCTAGAGTCCAAAGTGGTGGGTCCCAGATTCTTTCGCTAGAACATTTTGCGGCACACTGGAACTCTCTTTCCAAAAGCTTAAAGAAATTCTTTCCTTCCTCAGCTTTTGTGTAGTATGGAGAACCCTTAGTCATGTGCTGGTTCACAACAAATAATTCCCCAGAGTCATAAATGCTCAGCTTTATTTCACCTCTCCCGTGACGTGAGTGGAACATTCTTATTTTGGTTAACTTGAGCTTTCCATTGTTGATCATTGGAAATGATCACTGAGCTTTCCATTGTTGATCATTGCCCCATCTAACCCATTTCAGCTTCCTATTGAGACTGGGTTCAAGCCGCTTTTCTAAACAAAGTATCAGGGGACTTGGTACTCCCTCTGCAGGAGAGGGTGTGATGGGACAGCCAGCGCCGACTTCCCTTCTTTCTTTGCCACACACTAACAGAATAAAGAGAACTTGGGAGTCATGTGACGCCTGAGGCCAGATCTTATTAGAGTTCCCAATTTGGCAGCTGCCTTCATGCCTTCATGGACAGCCGGTCTCAGGAGGCTCTTTGTCTCATGTGGTACCTATGTGGCAACAGTAACAATGCTCTTCTCAGGTAAAGGGCATGCTCTTCCCTCTACGAATTCTACCAATAAGGGGGAAATGGATGTGATTATTGCTCTTTCATTTTGATGGCCTGCTTTGTACTTGTTCACTTCAGCGTGAGCTTGATTCACTGACTTGTTACAGAATTTCAGGTTGAAATAATCTCATCAACATGAAAAGCCATTCTCACACCTTTTGGAAGTAGACAAGAGGGATTTTTCCCCCTGGAAATTCTTGAGAGGACCCAGTTGGATATCATTTATGATAATTCTTCATACTTACAGAGCTATGAATGAGCATTTATTACTCACAATATGAGGCATTACCTGGGGTACTTTATATATAAATGCTCACACACACACACACACACACACACACACATTACTTTAAATTCTTAAACTAAATCTGAGATAGTTCTTGTTAGTTTCATTTACGAATAAGAAACCTGAGGCTCAGAAAACTACTAGCTTAAGTTGCATTGTTATGTGTCCAAGCTGAAGTTTGAACTAAGACGTGTCCCTCTCTAAGGGATTACTGGGATACCATCACCTTGTGTAAGTAAATCAGGTAAAATTAGGTGAATTCGACTATTAAAATGGTTAATAGTGAAAGATGAAGGTTTTCCTATTGCATGCATGGCGTGCTGCTCTTTGTCAGTGTAGGTTTAGGATGACAATCAAGATTCGTTTCATAAATTTTGACCCAATTGAGAAAACAAAGGAATCATGAAAATAAAGATAAAATTATTAGCATAATCATTGATCAGGCAGAATTGGAGATTCTAGATTAGACTTAATGCCACAATTAGACCTCCTGCTGCCTTCAGCTATATTTAGATTCTGGTACATGCAGTTCTGGGGAAAATCTCGACTTCAGAGAAGATTCCTATGGACACCTTCCTTGTTATACAGCTTAGAGCTCCATTACTATGAAGAGATTGATGATTGATCAGATTTTTCTCTGAAAAACATAACCTGAAGCCTAACTCTTGTACAGTTTCCCTACAAAAGGCACAAGCAGAGCAGTGCACCAACATGCATCGAGGCTGGCCTGAAAAAGAGAGAGTGGAAGGGGCTGAGCCATACGTGGTCATTTTATTCTGCTAAACTCAGATATAATAACAAATATTACATCTCTCTTTCTTTGAGAGGAGTTAGAGAGGGTTGTTGCAGGTCAATTTTTCTAGGAAACAGATTCTGAGACTCAGATTGGCTTGTAGACAATTTATGGGGTAATGTTCTCAGGGCAACATCTTTGGAGGATAAGAGATTTGGGCAGAAGAAGTCTCACCGATGAAGTTAATAGAGGCCTGGATTCTACAAGGCGCTCCAGAGTGAGATGGTTCTTCATAACTGTTCTGCCTCGGGCCAAGGGGGTTGGGCTTTTACATTCCTGAATTGACCAGTTAGAAGTTGTGATCTGCTTCTGGGAAGGGGACATGATATTAGGCGAGGTGGGTTTGTTCAGCTGAAGGCAATTCCCAAAGAGAGAAGCAACTGAGAGTCAGAAATTGCCAGCAACAGGAGAATAAATGCTTCAGTCCTAAAGGGATGGGGATCTGGTTGTACACCACACTATCCTCTAAAGAGGGGCAGCAAAAGGGTAGTAGCCACTCTACCACTTTTCCAACTACTTTTAAATGAACAGAAGTTTCTGCATAATAGGACCAAGCTAGGAAGGGGTAGTAGAGCAGTTGAGAACAGTGAAACTTGGGTCCCTCTATATAACCTCTGCCACATTGACCTGACCACACAGCCTGAAACAGTGACTCAGCTGAAAATTCAGCATCAATAATTGGGTGACTACGAAGCAGCCAAGAGAAGAACCTTCATATAGTCATAAAACTTCTCAAAGTCCCGGTGACCTGGACCATTAAAATATAGGTCAATTTCACATCCATTAGAAAATAAATACATTAATCCAATTATTTTTAGTGGAACTTGCTAATTCTTTTTTTTTTTTTTTTTTTTTTTTTTTTTTTTTTTGAGACAGAGTCTCGCTCTGTCTGTCGCCCAGGCTGGAGTGCAGTGCTGCGATCTCAGCTCACCACAACCTCCACTTCCTAGGTTCAAGCAATTTTCCTGTCTGAGCCCCCTGAGTAGCTGGGACTACAGGTGCATGCCACCCTGCCCAGCTAATTTTTGTATTTTTAGTAGAGATGGGGTTTCATTGTGTTGGCCAGGCTGATCTCGAACTCCTGACCTCGTGATCCACCCACCGTGGCCTCCCAAAGTGCTGAGATTAAGGTATGAGCCACTGCGCCCAGCCTAAAAACATGAAATTTTCATTAGTAGAGAAATGATGTCTTAGTGCTTTCAAGCTGTTATAATAAAATACCATACACTGGGTAGCTTGTAAACAACAGAAATTTACTGTCATAGTTTTGGAGGCTGCGAAATCCAAGATCATGGTTCTAAAAGATTTGATGTCTGGTAAGGGCCTGTTTTCTAGGTGCCCATCTTTTCATTGTAACCTCATATGATGAAACGGGCAAAGTAACCTTGAAGATCTCTTCTATAAGGGCAATAATGCCATTCACGAGGGCTCCACCCTCATAACCTAATTACCTTCTAAGGCTCCCTTTCTTATACCATCACCTTGGGGGTTAGGATTTCAACATCTGAATGTATTTGGAGGGGAGTCATAAACATTCAATTCATTGCAAATAGTTTAATAATTTTAGGTGCTTTTTTTCATTGTATCTACTTAAAGAAATTAAGGAAACCTTGAAATCTAGAAGGTTGAACATAATATAATGTGTAGTGACAAACTGAAGTTTTATAGTATCATGTATGGCATCATCCAGGGGTTAGCAAAATTTTTCTGTAAAGAAACAGATCAAAATATTTTATGCTTTGTGGTCTCTTGTTACCACTGCCTAATTCTACTCTGCTCATGTGGTGCAGAAACAGCTGTAGACAAAATTGGTATGAAGATGGTTGTGTTCCAATAAAACTTTATTGATTCACACTGAAATTTGAGTTTTATATATTTCTCATGTGTCATCAAATGCTACTCTGCTTTTTTTTTTTTTTTTTTTTTTTTTTTTTTTTTTTTTTTTTTTTTTTTTTTTTTTTTTTTGTTTTATCTTTTTTTTTTTCCTAGTGCTCACCTCTGTTTTTTGTTTTTTTACTTTCCTTCTTTTCTTCCAACCACTGAAAAATTCACTCTTGCATTCTTAACTCATGGGTGTACATAAACAGGTGATGCCGAATTTGGCCTGTGGGTAGTTGCCGACCCTCAGTATCTATCATCCTTGTGTATAACTGTTATCTTCTACACACACTCTTGCATCTGGGCGCATGCACTTCCTCAGTGAAAGTTATCCTGAAGTGTATATACCAACCTTTAATGGTAGTTACTCATGGTAAGTTAGTGGATAGCATGAGCTTTGAAGCCAGACTGCCTGATTTTGTAAGCCCAGCTTTGCCAAAAGAAGCAGACTTTGGACCAATGACTTTGCCCTCCTTCTACTTCAACTTCTTTATAGGTAAACGATGCCTAATAGGATTGTTTTGAGATTAAATTAGTTCATTCAG